TGCTCAACTTAACAGCTTTCACAGCCCATGTGCTTCCACTGACATGCAACTGATATTAAATGATGAATGCCAAAATAATGAAGAATAACGATTAAGTAATCAAATGATGAATCAGAACAGCCTGTCTCCTAGGTGCAAGAAGGGGCAATTCCAGCGGCCAGTGGAGATTTCTCCTGAGCTGGAGAAGAGACTCAGTGATTTCTCTCCGAAAATCTTTGTTCTAAAGGAGACTCTGAAGAAATTGAAAGGTACGACTAGGAAGGGATCTAGGAAGGGAAATAAAAAGTTGTCTCTAGAATTGTGGGATTTGCTGAGCGGTGACCAATCTACTGCTATTTAAAAAGAACAGAAAAGAAATAGATCAAAATTCTTGAATGAGGGGACTGGGCTGGAGAATTTTCTAGGGCAAATGAAATTCTGATTGAGAAACAACCATAATATGAATGTGAATCGTTGTCACCTTACCTCGTTTGCCTGGATTATAGAGGAATGCAGTCTCTTTGGATGAAGGAAGACCTTACGGCCATACAGAGTGCTCTGACCATATTCCTGCCTGGGTTCAGTGTCAGTCTGGCCTCAGTAGAAATTCTCCGTGCAGGGCCGGCTCCAGGCACCAGCCCACCAAGCTTGTGCTTGGGGCAGCACCTGGAGGGGGGCGGCGCGGCGCTCTGGCCGCCGGGGAGAGCGGAGCCCCGGCTGGGCTCTCCGCCGTCCTCCCGGCACTCTGGCCGCCGGGGAGAGCGGAGCCCCGGCCAGGCTCTCCGCCCTCCTCCCGGGGCTCCGGCCGCCAGCGGAGCCGCGGCAGGCTCGCCGCCCTCCCCCTGGCGCTCCAGCTGGTCTGGGAGCGACGCCCGCGGCCGGGCTCGGCGCCCGCCCGTGGTGCGCCGGGGGTGGGGGGGGGGGGGGGGGGGGGTTTTTAAGGGGGGGGTATTTTTTTTTTTTTGACTTTTACATTTTTCTTTCTCTTTTGCCACCATGTAATATTTCAACAATTCTTCTCACTATGCCCCCAAATGCATTCCAGCTCTGGTTATGGCCGGCAGAAATCACGCCATAACATGACAGCATGACATCTCATCTTTCTCCTCTCTCTCTAGATACCCTGCCCTCCGAACTGGAGAGAGAATGGGGTGAGTCTCTGGGAAAGGTGGGGCCGGGAAAGAAGGCTGCAAATGGGAAGAGATCATAACAGTTTGTGTTGGTGACCCTGGATTCACTTGCAGAAGAAGCTTCTGAGATCAGAGAAAACAGAAGCTGTTATGACTAGAGAATGGGCATTCCAGAGAGGGGGACGGCTTTAAACACTCCAGCATATTAACCCCTTCACTGGTCGGACCGAGCCCCTTGTTGTCTCCAGTCATCCTCTTCGATCTCTCTCCCTCTTGCTGGGTTGTGGGGTCTCCCTTCACCCTGTCCTTGGGTCTGGGCATGCATCTGACGAAGTGGGTATTCACCCACGAAAGCTTATGCTCCAACACATCTGTTAGTCTTAAAGGTGCCACAGGACTCTCTGCTGCTTTTTACAGATCCAGACTAACATGGCTACCCCTCTGATACCTGTCCTTGGGGACTCTCTCCTGGGTGCTGCCCCATCTCGTCCACCCAGGTGGGGAGGGGACCCTCTCCAGCTGGTGCCTCCTTCTCTTCCTCCCCTTGGGGCTGGGGGCCCTTTCTTGTCTTTGCCATCATCCCTCCTCCACCTTCCACGTGCTGGTGACCCCTCCCTCTGCCCCACACCCAGTATCAATCCCCAGCCCCTTCCTTCTGGAGTGGGGTTTGCACACTGTCCCTCCCGTGTAGGGTCCTACCAAATTCACGGCCTTGAAAAACGCATCACAGAGTGTGAAATCTGATCTCCCCCGTGAAATCTGGCTATGACAGGGGAGGAGCAGGGCTAGGGGTACCCCAGGCTTGGGCTCCCACTGTGGGCCGGGCTCCAGTGGCTAGTCCCAGTCCAGGCTGGGGAGGGACAGGACTGCCTCTTCTCCTGCAGGGGCTGCCCCCACAGGTGGGTCAGACCCACCTCTGGGAACCTCCCCCAGCTGCAGGAAGCTCTGCAGATGCTGGCTGGGACAGCTCCTGACCCAGTCAGGAGGCTGCGGCTCCAGCTGTCAGCCCTGACCCAGGCAGGGAGGCTGCGGGGAAAACCCAGATGGGTGATAACTCGCCCCCCTCCCCCATACCCTGCAACGCTCACTTCTGCGCTGCTACTGATGATGGTGGCACTGGCTTTAGAGCCTGGCGCCCAGCCAGCAGCCGCTGCTCTCTGGCTGCCCAGATCTGAAGGCAGCACCACTACCAGCAGCAGCACAGAAGTAAGGGTGGCAATCCCATGATCCCCCTACAATAGCCTTGTGATCCCCCCATGGCCTCCTTTTGGGTCGGGACCCCCATGGTTACAACACTGTCAAATTTCATATGTAAACACCTGAAACCGTGAAAATCCCATGACTGTGACATTGACCAGATTAGGGCCCTACCAAATTTATGGTCCATTTATGTGCCATCTCCTGCTTCCTCCCTCCTGGCTGGCAGGGCTGGGGAGGTGTCTCCCAGCAGCCCTCCCTATAGGCGCCAACTCCGTGGGTGCTCTGGGGCTGGAGCACCCACAGGGAAAAAATGGTGGGTGCTGAGCACCCACCAACAGCCCCACATCAGCTCCCCTGTGCCCCCCATGTTTGCTGCCTGCTAGCAGGACCCACTAATCAGCACCTCCCCCAATCTCCCTGCACCTCCCACCCGCTGCAGTCAGCTGTTTCCCAGTGTTCAGGAGGCTTTGGGAGGGAGGAGGAGGAGCGAGGGCACAACGTGCTGGGGGGAGGGGACAGAACTGGGCGGGAAGATGCGGGGTGGGGTGGAGGGGGGGCGGGGAGAGGAGGGATGGGGGTGGGGCCTTGGAGGAAAGGGTGGAGTGGGGGAGGGGCCTGGGGCAGAGCACCCCCCATGCACATTAGAAAGTCTGTGCCTGTGGCCTCCCTACCCTGCTCTCTCCCTGCTGCCGGGAGTGGGGCAACCCCAGCAGGGGGACCAGGGAGATGCAGCCGGGGAGGAGGCAGAATCTGCAGCCAAAAACCTCAGCTATAACAGCACCTCTAGGGCCTAGGAGGAAGGCGCCATGGAGATATCCTTGCTCAGTGCCAGCACAGAGGCAGCTCCCTAGGGGAGCAAGGCAGAAAATCGGGGAGGGTCCCAGCTGGGATGGGGCTGCTGGGGAGTGTGAGAAATGGCCCCAGCCTCTCCCAGCGCTGAGCTCTGCCCCTAATGCTCTGATTCTCTCTCCCCTCAGTGAATGTGACTCTGGATCCAGACACGGCTCATCCCGAACTCGTCCTGTCTGAGGATCGGAAAGGCGTGAGGCGGGGACACACGCGGCAGCATCTTCCCGACAATCCGGAGAGATTTGACGCTGAGCTCTGTGTGCTGGGCTGTGAGGAATTCACCTCGGGGCGACATTGCTGGGAGGTGGAGGTGGGGGATGGAGGAGGCTGGGCTGTGGGAGTGGCCAGAGAGTCTGTGAAGAGGAAGGGAGAGTTCATCTTTGGACCTGAGAAGGGGATCTGGGCTGTGGGACTGTGGAGGAGTCGGTACTTGGTCATCACCTCTCCTGCGACACCCCTGTCCCTGAGCTGGGTGCCCAGGAGGATCCGGGTCTCTCTGGATTATACACAGGGGCAGGTGGCATTTTTTGACGCTGATAGTGAAGCCCCGATCTTCACTTTCCCACCGGCCTCATTCATGGGGGAGCGAGTCTGCCCCTGGCTCTGGGTGGAGATGGGATCCCAGCTCAGGCTGTGCCCTTGAGACGTGGGGTGAAATTCACCGCTGCACCTTTCCTCTAGGCAGAGGCTCCCCCGGCACCTGGACTCCCCATCTCTGGGACTGTGGCCAATTTCAGGGAGCCTCTGAACTGACACAACCTCGGGTTGCTGGATGTGATTAGGGCAGAGAGCCCAATCCCATTGCCCAGTCTGGTCCTATCCCCTCTGATTCTGGAGAGCTCTGGCAGTCTGCCGGGCAGATGGAGGGAGAGGAATCCAGA